GCAAAATGGACTTTCAAATCAATTCGCTTGAAAAAAAGTTTTGGTTTAGTAGTTGTTTGTCTTTAAATTTAAATTTAATTGACAGGCACTAGATTTTTTTCGGAATGTAATTGGACTTGGAGGGACTATTACCTATTTACTTGTTGCAAACTTCTGCTAATAGTTTTTTAAAATAGTTCAGAATCTAAGCTCTATTCAACTCTTGTATGTAGGAATTTATCAATTTAGTCGCTCCTGTTTTTTGAGGCGAAGACATTATTACTTTTTGCAGAATATAAAAGTGCTTCGGATCTGCTAAAAGGATTACATCATTACTCTAGGTAGGAAGGATTCCATTACTGTGGCAAGAGCTATATAGGGTGGAATGGTCTTTAGTGCTAGTAGTTTCTTAACTTTTTTCTCATCAAGTAGTATTACCTGATTTATATGGCGTCGTTTTGATTAATAGGCATTACGATTTTAATGTGCGTATAATAGAGTTTCAATGTACAATTTTTTTAGGAGTCAACTAGTTTTGTTCTTTTTTAAAATAACCAAATATTCTTAAATTTGCTTACTTACATAAGGAGTTAGTTATTTCTTGATCAATGTTTATTGTGTGAAGTGGGAATTTTCGTTAGGAAAGGAGCATCTGTTTCGAACCTTCAGCCGTTCCTTAACATGGTTTCTTGTACACTAAAAACTTTCTGTTGTTGGTAAATTTTTAAAGGCGTTTTTTAGGAGGACGATACATTAAAAAATCAATTGAAAAATTAGTTCACATAAGAGACTTTCAAAATGAAGATATAAGAGTTTGACCAAGTTATAAATTTGACTTTTTGGAGTTTTTTAGCTGTTTATTTTAAATGTCGGGTATGAACTTTTAATTCTCATTTAACAGGACTCTATTTCATCTACTTCGCAAACTCTGAATGGTTCGGAAGCGATGAGAGGATCTGTCACGCAGATGACAGATGAGGAAGTTGATGCTGCATTTAAAGAACTCTTGGTATAAATTATTTAAAAGTAATTAGGATTTGAAACTTTTATGGGGTTAACTGTTAAATAGGTGAAGTATGGAAGTTTTTGTGGAGGAATTTTCTAGAGTATTGAAGTGTCGGTTAGGGGACTAAATTTAAGTTATCTCATTTATGTAGTTTTAAGAAAGTTGGAGTTAGTTTTTTTGTTGGTAATTTAATAAACTTAAAGTTTTGAAGGGTTATCATGACTCATCGGACTTTTTTTTGTTCAGGAACAAATGAATATCAAGGGCGAAAAGCTGCGTGCCTTACTGTCTCGTGACATGGCAAAAAAACGACAGATGGTTTCACAGTCCTTGAAACTTAATGTTGCTGCTCAGGTGGCAACTAAGGTAATTCATTGGTCTTGGCGGTCTTTGATTTGTCTGGTGGGCATCTTTGGGGGAATGTTTCTGGTTTTCTTTAAATTTGCGTTAATGATTCGGTTTATTTTAAAAGTCTATTTGAAAAGGTCTCTCTCCTTCGTTCTATCTTAGGTTTCTTTTAGCATCCACTCGATTTCGTGCAGCGTATGGAGAGGGTTTTAAACTTGCGGGAGGATGGGAGAGGCTTTTTAAAAGACTTCATGAAGGAGATGAAAGTGCAGCTTAGTGTTGAAAAGGTTGATTGGATAGCAGAAGTAAGTTTTACCGTTCGAAATACACACTGCTTCAGCCTGGCTGACTTCTTCGTATTGTTCATATACTTTCACCGGTGTTTATTGTGATTGAAACATGTCTTAAGTTACTTTGTTATTTTCTCTTAATTGTTTTAATGTCCTTTAGTTTGGAAACCAAGGGGGCATTCGATATATACTATTGATCATGAAGCGTCTCGTTGATACGTTCAGGAAGTCGGAAATGCCGGAGCAAGAAGAGGACAATGCTTCACTTCTTTTTGACTCTGTTAAGTGTCTGAAATCAATAGTAAATACTTGGGTGAGTTTCTTCTTTCATATCAAATTATTTATGTCATTTAATAATCGCTCTTTTTGGTCAGAATTTCTGAGGGCACTTTTGTGATTGATGTTTTTAATACAGCTTTCTATTTTTACTTTAGCCTGGTATGGATTTATGTTTCAAAAAGGATTCTAAAATGTTTGCCTGTCTTGTTGGGACCTTAACAGTTGCTTCACGGAAGCCACCGTTAGATTTTTGGGAGATGTTGAAATTTGAAACACTCAGCTTGTTAACGGTAGTGGCTTTTATCAACGACGACCAGTTTGAAGTGAGAGGGCAAGTTTTAGTTTCCTTGTACTTTTGCTCTTTTGCTTTTATTTTAATTTTTTTCAGTTGTTGTTCTTTGAACATTAGCCATTTAAAATGGTACCTTTGCTGATTTTAGAAGAGATGCACTCCTAAACGAATTAACGGAGGAGGGGAGAAAAAGAGGCTGCGAAAGGTTTAAAAGCATAGTCGACTGTATAAAAAAGTCCAAGAGACTTGATGTTGTGGTACGCGTTTAACCTCTGTGTCGTTTCAAAAATTTGATCAAGTTGACGCAACATTCGCACTACATTTCAGAAAAAAGCTTTAATGTTGGTAAACATCATTCTTGATGTTCGGGATCCGGACGATACGAGTACAGAAGAGGGGAAAGCAGAAGCAGACGAGGCGTGGCAAATGCGTATGCACTGGCGCAGCGAATTCATGAGGGCTGGTTTATACGACTGCGTAGAGGTTGGTATTTTGGTGAACCTGGACTTTGACCTACCTAAAATATAGTAAGTCTTGTTCAGTTGTTTAAGCTTTTCAGTTCCTGGAGAGTTGTTCTGTGGAGTCAGTCAAGGCGCAGTATGACACCTTCTGTCATAACAAGGAAGCCGATTTCTCTGAACTCATACAACGCTTTGAACTAATGTAAGTTCTATAATGGTAATCGGTTAACCGATTGCTGACCGCAACTTGTTGCTGTAGTTACAAATATTTCTGTAGTTTTTATGTTGTGATTAAAGATAAGTGAAATTTTTTAGTAAAGGTGAGTATGAGGACCCTGAATCTTGTTTTGCATTACTGCACAGCAGCGTCAAAAATTCCAAGGCAGAAGGATGCTTGCTCAGTATACTTCAGCATTTGCTTCTCATAACAGACGACTTTGTTGTTCGGTTAGTTAAATATTTTGTTTTTCTGATGTTCAAAATTAAGCCATTATAAATTTCTTCAGAATTCTCAATCCACTTATAAGATAATTGGTAAGGATACGTTCCCAGATTCTTTTCAGCTGTGGTGCCAGAAATACCATGACCGGTTAAACCTTAAAAATTTCAGTTTCAATTACTTTCGCCTAATCGAGAACTGTATATCAGAAATTGTACTTCCAAAAAACTGCGTAGATCCGGATTTCAGGGGAAAATTTGAGTTTACACAGGATATTTTTCAGACTGTCGGTAACTATTTAAAAATTTTTATATTTTGGTCAAACAGTGCTTATCAAAATTTATTGGTTCATGATGCTGCTGAATTTACTCAATTTTTAGACAGCTATGAAGAAAATGAGGTGATACAACAATTAAACAAGCGACTGGAGTACGCAACCCAGCTGAAGAATGAAGCACTGGCTAAGCAGAGCCAGTACTTCATGAAAATGAATGAGTTTTCGGAAGAAATTAAAGGTCTTCGTAAGCACGTATGTTCCGTAGTTCACCCTTTGCTCCCCTTGGTTATATATTTGCTTTTTCTATCGATATTTTTCAGATTGATGATCCGTCTGCCCCAGTACCAGAGCCTACCCCGTGCGCTCTGCCGCCGCCAAAAATCATCGCGGAGCCGACCCCGGAACTGCCTAGTGCTACGAGCGTGCCTGGCCCAAG